TGTGTAATATTGTGATGCACTGATTTGCAACCTTTTACACTGGATGTTCTTCCTGACAGAGAGCTGTGTGTCCTCCTGGTCTCAAACCAGACACAGCCTGTACAAATGTGCAAACCTCAGCAATATTATATCATATCATGTGTTTATACAGCACAACTGCACTAAATCATTGGCAGTCCCCATAGGGGGTCATGTGATTGTTGGAGTTTGCTGTCTAACGTTTAACATTGTTTAACATTGAGTGTTTACAATGTAAAGCACCTTAGCAGACTGCTGTTGTGAGATGGCACTATATAAATAAAAGTGACATATTGTATTTGAAGTGATGTGACAGTGATGATGTTGCTGTTGTGGGGCTCCAACAGTAGCTGTGTGTAACTCCTGACAGTAGAGATGTGTGTGTGGGGACCAGCTCAGCCTGAGTGACTCTCTGATCTTTGTGTTTCAGATGGATACGAGTATTACACTTCATCCCGCTGCCTGTTTAACTCCACTGAGCTGCGGGACATAGCGTACATCAGATCTTACTATTACAACAGGATGGAGTATGTCAGGTTTGACAGCAGTGTGGGGAAGTTTGTTGGATACACCGAGTACGGTGTCAAGGAGGCAGAATACTTTAACAAAGATCCTGCACAGCTCGCCGCAATGAGAGCTCAGAAGGAGACGTACTGCACACCAAACATTGACCTCTGGTACCGAAGTGTTCTGACAAAATCAGGTGAGTCAGTGTTTCTGTGGCATCATCGGATCATCATATAAACATCATCACACTGATGCATCATCAACACAACTCCTGACTGGACCTTCTGCACAGTTTACAGTAACACTGCTGAAGGTTTAATGTGACACGTTCAATAAAGCTACACCATCTCTGCAGAGTGTCTGTGGTTTGTGGCGTCCTGCTTTAGTTTGTTGCAAAATTTACCAAAGTCATTTTCATGTTCCAGCGAAACCATTCGTCAGACTTCACTGGACGAAGCCTCCCATTGATCATCATCCTGCCATATTGGCTTGCAGCGTCTACGACTTCTACCCCAAATATATCAAAGTGAGCTGGTTGAGAAACGGACAGGAAGTAACCTCTAACACCACAACAACTGATGAGCTTCCAGATGCTGATTGGTTCTACCAGACCCACTCCTACTTGGAGTACACACCCAGGTGAGTCTAGTTTGGGCCTGCTAACAGGACTTGCTGATTCTAATTTATTCTTGTAAGTTTTTAATGTTTTCTGTCACCTGCTTATTTTTTCCCTGATGCTGTGGAGCTTCTTCAGTCTCATGTCCACTTTCTCCAGGATAGTTCCAGCGTCACCTTCCATATTCATTTTCTCAATAAAACAGCTCTGGTCTGATCCTTGGGCGCCCTCGACTTATTTAGCTCAGTCTGGTCTGTGTCTCCAGCTCACTGACTTTCGTTTGAATAACATGACAATGATCCACAGATGCAGATGTTCACAGCTCAACCTGTGAAACTTCTTCCCTCTTTTCCTTCCTCATTCCTGCTACAACTAAATTCACCCAAAGTTCCCATTTCTCCTGAGCCAAGTGGTTTCAGCAGGAACTGTCTGAATTCAGCAGAGCAAAAAATAGGAAGTCCCCAAGGTTGTTTTTAACAAAGCAATAAACACGTGATGACAATTTCTTTGTTTTCACTTAGTGAATATGAACATTTCCCTACATGTTGATGTTTCATGTAATACATTTCAGAGAATTCCTCAAACTGAGCCTGTGATGGACTTGAGCTAACACATCATGAAGCTCCTGTTCTAAAGGACCAGTGCTAAAGACTAAGCCTTTACACCTGGATGACAGAGATAGTCGCTTGGAACACATTTCTACAAGATGTAAAATGATCAAATGAACAACTCTTTTGATTCCATAAAAAGCATTGAGGCTCCAGGTTCAAAATAATTGCGCAGCCATGCCAACTAAACCTTCCTTTTGTTACTTCGGAGTGCTACAGCAGGAAATAGAATTAGGCTGGAAAACGAAAAGTCCCGAATTGTAGTTCAGTGTGAGCGTCAGTGATGTTGGTTTGTGTTGTAGGTCTGGAGAGAAGATCTCCTGTATGGTGGAGCACGCCAGCCTGGAGAGACCTCTGGTTACTGACTGGGGTAAATACCTGTCTGTATCTACACACCTGTACACACCTGTGTGTCTGTCCACCTGTGTGACTCTCACCTGTGTGTCCTCAGTCCCGTCCATGTCCGAATCCAAGAAATTGATGATCGTTGGAGCCTTTGGGCTGATCCTGGGTCTGCTCTTTTTCCTGGCTGGAGTCATCTACACAAGGATGTGCAGCAGAGGTCAGAGCAGCACTCACACCAAACTGAAGCCAGTTCGTAACACAACATATGAGTTGGATGTTCATCAGCAGGATGATTTAAATCACAAACAAAGCATGAAAATTAGAATGATTAAGGGTCAGAGTTCAGAATCTCTCCTCTCTGTCTGATGTCCTTGGAGATTGTAGTAATAGTGGGGCCCCACAGGGCCCTGTAAGAGGACCTTTGTTTTTAAATCTGATATGTGAGAAATTTCCACATGAATCAGGCTAAAGGTCAGTTAAATATTAAAGATACTTACATTTATGTCTTATTCTGCCAGCAGACACTGATTAATAACTCAATATAACCACAGATAAATCTGCGGTCCTCTCCGCTGTGTCACACCACAAACACGTCAGCAAAGAATTTCCAAGTTTGCAATGTTTGAAATCTCACAAACCCGTGGAAAATATGGCCTGCAGAAAAGGAAAGAGGATCCATGACTTCCAGAAGCTGATGGCCCTTCTAAAGGGTTTGTTCAGAGTCAGGATAACTTGAGCTAAGGGATGGTTGGATTGCTTGGATCAGTTAGATCGTTGAGTTTCTTTCTCTAATGACAGTTTCTGCCTCTCGGTCATGAAAGAAGTATGGCGTCTCCCCACCAGGCTAGCAGGGTGCAAATCCAAGTTTGTGAATGTGGTAACTCGAGAAGGAGGCGAAATACGAGTTTATAGTAAAAACCTCGGCCCAGTTTGAATCCAAGCGTTTCCCTGATCACTTAGGATCTTCACATTTGTACCATAGGTGCATACCAGGAAGGTGAGGAGTAGCTGTGGTGCCTGCCAGTATTACTTTACCAAAGCCAAAGTCTGAGCAGCATGAAACATTAGATCTGTGGCGTGTATCAGTTCAGCCTGAGTCGTCACTCTTTGACCTTTGACCCTTGCTCTCACTGTTACAGATGGATATACACCTTTGGCTCACAAGTTCAGTGAGAAGCAGCCAGAGGACTGGAACAAAGATGCTGCAGCTCTGAGCTTGTGGAGACCTCAGAAGGAGATGTTCTTCAAACCCGACTCTGAGCTCTGCTTCACAAATGTTCTGCCTAAGTCAGGTGACTCACTGTTTCTGTGACATCATCAGATCATCACATGACAGCTCAGGTCCTCGCTGATTAATCAGCTCCTGAATGAACACCTGCACACTGTGACGCTTTCATCTGTGTGTTGCAGTAAAGCAGAGCCTGCTGGTTAGCTTTGCCACATGGGAAAATATTAGAGAAGTCATTACGTCATTTAGCACCAGACGGGGAGCAACAGCTGACAGCAGCTAGCAGCAGCTTTGGGTACAGCCAACAGTGTGGGTTGAGGGTGCCAGGCGTCTCTGGATTTGGTGCATTTCTCACTGTATTACGATTGCTGTTGAGACCCGTGCTGTCAGCTATACTTGTTACTGTAGTTATTTGTTTATCAGAACATTTAAAAGTGCTTAATAATCATGTTTTGTTCTTTTTCTCTGGTGTTAACGCTAGGCCCTGGCTGTGTGTGATATACCAACTGCCTGGTTTCCACATCCTTCATATAAACGCTCCTAGCTCGCTGCCTAAGACTTAGAGTCTGGGCCTGTTCAAGTAGTGCTGACATAACCGTCGTATCTGAAAGTCAGTTATCTAATTTTATAGTGATTAAAGACGTGGCAGTTGGTGGATTTAACGTTTATCACTCTGCTGTCCGAGAAAAGGCGGTGGTGTAGGGGTTAATGTAAAGGTCTGTGTTCAGGTCTTGTAGTGTAGTTGGGCTTCTTCTTGTTGCTACCACACCATCCAGCTCTCCTGGATTTCAGTGATATGATTATTGTCTCTGCTCATGCTCTCCATCTGTTGGAGTCTGGTGTGCTGGATCTGTGCTGTGTGATAAACACTGTACTTTATACTCTCTGGTTGACTGGTCCTCATGGGCCTTATGCAGGATGCTTCAGTTCATACAGAACTGCATAGAGCATAATGCACGACTTGCAGGTCTCTTAGTTAACTTTACTTACAGACTTTAAAAAACGTATAAATGACTCATCAGTGGAAACATTAGACCATTTTAGTTATAAGACTGTTTTTTTGTAGTCATTTTAATATGTTTGTCTGAAGCAGGTCTCTTTATAAACGAGACATCATGTATCAGTGGGACAACCTGTGTAAATAAAGCTTAAATAAGGTAAATTATAATTCCAGATTAAGAGTGAAACGTTGAAAAGCTGTGTGAGGGAGCCACGCAGCGAGGGAGGGATGCAGGAGACTGTGATGGTTTAAATTGTCATTATTATGTTTCAGTGATGCCGCTGATTGGTGTTCATGCCATGACGCCCCCTGGTGGTCATCATCCTGCCACGCTGCTCTACAAAGTCTACGACTTCTACCCCAAAAAGGTCGCTTCTGCTAAAGCGATAAAAGCAGCTGATTTGCTTGAGAAGACTTTACCAGATGAGCTGGAGCCCAGGTGAGTCCACAGCTCTGAGTGCAGGTACAAAGGATGAGGAGCAGATGGTTTATAAAGACACACTCGGGCTGCAGGGTGGCTTTATTTAAACCAGAAGATGAAACTGCCAGAAACATTGAGGGCTGGATCTCTGTGTGTAACCACACGTGTGCCTGCATGGTGAGCTCCTGTATGACAGGAAACACCAGTTTACATCAGGCTCAGTGTCAGGATTGTGATGTGGATGAGTCATTCTGGGCTTTTAACTGCAACAGTTTGTTTTTAATACAACTGCTTCTACATATTAGCAGTGGGCACATTCACAGTTTATAAAAGTGCACTGAGATTTTTATAAACTGTGATAACTGTGAAAGAGAGCAGACAGGACTAAGAGACAGAAACAGGACCACACCTATTTATCTACAAATTAATGACACAAGATGAGAG